TCCAGATAGTTGCTGTAGGTTTTCACCCGATGCCCATATGGTAGTGTCATCAGCAAACAAAACCACTTTCACTAAATCAGAAACCTTGCATATATCATTAATGTATAGTATAAATAATTTAGGTCCCAAAACAGAACCCTGAGGCACTCCACATACAATGTCCAGCTCACTCGATTGGTATTCACCCAACTTCACAAATTGACACCTCTGTGTCAAGTAACTTCTAATCCAATTCAAAACCAATCCCCTGATCCCATAGTTTTCTAACTTATCCATTAATAATGCATGATTGATTGTGTCAAATGCTTTTTTTTAGGTCAATAAATATTCCCAACGTGTATTTCCTCTCATCCATAGCACTTGTTATGTCCTCCATCAGCTCAGTAATGGCCAGAGATGTCGATCGGTTTGACCTAAAACCATATTGGCAATCAGAGAGGATTTTATGTCTATCAATAAATGTGTGTAATCTGTTATTAAAAAGTTTTTCCAAGATCTTTGAAATGTAGCGTGCATACATAATAGTACAAACAAATAGCAGAAAACTATTCTTTATATTGTTGACCCCCACCTCCCCTTTTACCTGAAGGGTTTGGAAGCAGTAAATAAGTCAAATGAGGGCTGATGGGCATCTGGCACATTTGGAACATGTCCTTCAGCCACTGGATTGCACAGCAGAACATTCCAGTTGTTTAACATTTAATGAGAAAGTGCAGTATGTGGTCGCTTTGGCAGAGATGGATGGTGGGTTGGTATCGAATGGCATGTTGCTGTTTTAGAGTGAAGACAGTGATGGGCAGTGTGCATAAAAAACTAACACAGCTGGAGCGGTATGAATCCCTGTAATATAACTGTGTATGCACCGATTTGTGTTCAAACATATATAAAATATAAGTATCAAATATGTAAGCTGGTCTACTTCTCTGAAAGCCAGCTTCATAACAATCTCTTTTTACAAAGTAAGACAAACTGTAGTGAGGTCTAAATATGGGCTGAGAAATCGGTTATATTACCTGGGATTACACTGTGTTGAATGCTCCCTCTACCATGACAATCTGTACATTATTTAAACAATGAAATCAGAAGAGCTGAGAATTTGTTTGTGCCTCAGTGAATTTGGTTCAGAATTTACAGCTACATGTAGAATAACCTTTTAGAAGAGACCAGGATCATGACTAAACCAAATGTATATGTATATTTGTCTTTGTGTCCAGTATCTGGATATGCTGTTTTTCTGCACAATAAATCACAAAACACAAACATATTCACTTGTAAGCAGACATTTATACATATTTACAAAAAGAAAAACAAAAGTCTCCTCACATGAGATTAGATCACTTGATGACAGTTTCATTTTGTTTACAAAGAAGTAGTTCCGAAAAATCACAAGAGACAAATATTGGCACTGAGATGTAAATACGGCATAACAGACTGACACACATGAGGTGGCTCTGCACAACGTATTTGAGGGAAACACTAAATGTTTAAAATTGTCCACCATAAAAATGCCTTTTAAGAGTTCTGCCTCCTACTCGTGTGTTGTTTGGATCTCATCAAATATACACTATATCTGCAAGTCGGAGTCCATACAAGCTCGGTTGTTTTCATATCTTTTTTAAGATTCTTGGGTCTGATGCGTACTTGTGTGAGAGCAGAGACTAAATAAGATGCTCCAAATTAAGTCCACATTTGCATTTTCTCACATAGGTTGGATGTTTGGTACCTTAAACAAGTGTCACACTGGGATTTGTTTGCTGGAGGGTGTGCGCTCTGGCTAGTACAAATTGTCAGTTTATTTACAGAGCCTGCATTTTTTCCAACACAATGTTGCCAAAAAAAAAAAAGAAAGACAAAAAAGGCGATTCAGCAGTATCATATGATTGGCTTTGGGACACACATATAGGGCCAACATTGCACCACTTCTCCTAGGTAGCCTTTACAACTCTATAACATTATGGCTAAACATTCTTTATATGTCTTTCTGAAAAGTTGTGTCCCTGGGGTTTTAATGTCCACTTTAAAGGAATAGTCCGACAGGCCAAGCAAACTGGCTGCTGGCATTAGCTTCATACTGTACATACATGAGAGGGGTATCAGTCTACCTAAACTCAGCAAGGAAGCAAATAAATGTATTTCTAATCCTTTAGGCTAGTATTCATCACCCTACTGGATAGTACAGTAACTACTTCAGACCTTAACTATTAATCTTAAAATATGGGCAGACATCCCTAGTATCATATTTCATCTCATCTGACAAAATGCTATGAGAAGATTCTTGTGTGCAGCAGAAGCTAGTTAGGAGAAGGGCTTTGATTCTCTATGCAACTAATTTACAGAGTAAGTGTATACTTAGCATTTTGAGGATACTGCAATCATGGATACCCATTTAAGAATGGAATCAAAACCCTGGTCTAAGTGCAGACTTGTTTTGTGCACTTGCACACTGACTCAGGGTTAGGCTTCATCTGCTGTGTTAACACCATTAAACACACCTGCAGTCTGACTACATGTGTTTGTCTTTAATGGCATATGAGAGCAGTCTGAGTACAGGCCAAACGCTGACTTCATTTGGATTAAGCTGCTGGCCTCACTCACTCACACACCCTTTAATTTTTGAAATGTGGCCTTAGCTTGTTGTATCTTACACATTTCATTTAATTTTATTTCAACAGTCACACACTCCCTATAAACTCTTCTTTCTCTTTACTAAAACACACACTTTCAGAAGTAGCTCTGCCCTGGTTCACTCTTTCATGTGGCCAAAGCCAAGAAACCAAAAAGCCAAGCCCATGTTAATCTTTTGCAGACTCTCCCTGCTGGTTTATTTTGCTTATGGCATCAAAAGTGTATCTGAACCATTGCTCAGTTCCTCATTTAGCAGATTAACTGGCCTGGCCTTTGAACCTTTGTTTCAGCTGTGCTCACTCTGATGTCAAACACACAGACACATGCTCTACCACACACATACAAAAACATGCAAAGGCAGGAGGACTGGGATCCTGCAAGACCCACCAATAGATATTCTGTAGGTGGGATTGTGTGCTCAGCATCATCATCATGGGATTAAATATATGAAAATATGAGAGGCTGCTGTCACTGGACTTAATGCATGCACAATAACGGCATCTTCTTCCAATACACCACACAAACAAAAGTTACAATTTAATGCGGTTTCCTCCTCCTTCATTCTCCTTTTCATCCCTAATGGAATCTGACTTGTAAACAAGAGCACTATCACTGTTGAGCATTTGGTTTTTATCCTTTGTTCTGGAAAACAATAAACACTATCACACAAAGAGAAAAAATTTAGTTTCTGCAGCTTTTACCTTTAAATGTTTGTAGGATGAGTGAGAGTCTCCAAACAACAACCAAAAATCAAACTTTCCACAGGTGGGAGTGGGAAGGTGCATCAACAGAGGCAGATGGTAACAATTGGAAATCTTGCAAAACTAAAAATAAATACAGAAGAGTACCATGCAGACTTGTATGTGTAGGCACACAAATATACAGTACATGCATAACAAACATATTTAGCCTATGTGTTAAATAAGTGTCTTGTTTGTGACCCGGTGAAAAGTGTTTCCCAAAAACCTGACCCAACAACCTCCAAAACAAGCACTTTCACTCCAGGTTAAACAAATAAATACCACTTAAACAGAGGTGGAATAAGTTGCCATGGTTTAACATTTTAATATTTACATTAACAATTTACTTCTTACTGCTCAAAGTCACTGAAGTTGCTCGAATCCCACAGAGTTCACAACGCCAGTTCAGCACTTTCTCAAGTTCTTACTTTGTATAATAAAACCTTCTTTATACAGCCTGCTCCATATAATAATTTACAGTCAAGACCAGCAATATAGTTCTCAACTTTTTTGTTGGCCCATTTTTGGGTCCTGAGCCACAGTTTGAGACACATGCATGTTCTGTACAGTCTCATGGAAGTGCGGTTCATGGTCTGGTCCTCTTCGAAATGTGTCCATGTTGCATCAAACATTACTGAAGAGTAATTTTACATATTCAGGATGTAACCTGTCACGACCAAAGTTATAGTAAAAACTCTTCAGTCCAATAAGATACAGAAACACGATTATTCAGTTGTTTTTTGGGTTTTTTTTTTTGCTACAGTAGACACATGATTTTAATACTATCAATTAAAAATTGCCTCTGGGTTTTGTCTGGTAGCACTGATCCTGATAACAGCCCCCAGACTCCTCATTAAAACTACTGAAAACACATTCATTTATGAACGTCAAAAAGGAATTTAAAGTTTTTTGTAATTACTGTAAAGGCTTGATCGTGTCTCATCTAATAGCAGCAACACCATTTCTTTCCACAAGCTTATTTAGCAAAAAATGAACATTTAAAGATGCGCCACAAAACTGGAGTTGTTGTGCAGACATTACTGTTGTCCTATGTATAAATAAATGTGGCTGTGCATTGCAATCATGTAACCCCCCCATAATAAACAACTCTCTGCTGCGTGGCATCAAATCAACGTCAGCTATGCCTGTGAAGCTCACCACCTAACATCACTGAGCCAAATGTTGAGTAGAACATAATGGAAAAACCTCCTGTTATGTGTCTGTACCCGTGTCCTGGGAAAGTAAATATGTAACCTCATCAAAACCACCATTGTGCTTTCATTGCCTTTCATCTTTGTGGCCACAGCCGTTCCTCTCGTGGTCAGACCCCACCTATCTGAAGAAACCACAGCCACTGTACGCAAATGGTTTGAAGCATTCCGTCCCAGAATGTTTTGTATCCATTTGGGGAAAATGTATAAAACACATCAGTGCTTGCAGTATAGTTACTGCAAGTTGCTGCTGTTTACCCTGATAACTTGTTATTTTAATGTTTTAGCCCTTTAATTATCAATCACTGCAGATTATTTTCCAGAGCAAATGTTTTTGGATCGATGGGTACGCCATCACAGAAAACATGTCAGTACCTTTCTTTTTTGTTTACAGCTGTTACATCTGAGATTTGATAGCTGAACAACCAAATCCTTTTTAACAATGTGTGCCTGTCCATCTCGTTACGCTTCACTTTGGCACACCATAGCAATGTCAGTCAAAAACTTTTGAGCATTTGTTGTTCACTTCCGAGATACTCTGGGAATGTGAACACAAGACAAAGGAAAGTTTGGAAAATGCTGCTTGCAAATTGCAATCTTGCATATGCCATTTTTCAGGTTTCCACATGATGATTTTAATGGAAACCGACATCTGCCTGGAAGGCAGGAAATCAATCTACAGCATCTGCTCTGTTTAGGAGAATAATCATAAATGTGATTTGTAATTAATGGCGTCAAACTACCAGTATGGTCAGTAATCATTTCAGAATGTTTTTTTAAATGCTGAGTATCTTCTTTTGAAACAAGGATCCAGATTTACAGCATCTCTCAAATGTTCTTGTCATGTTAGAGTCAGTCAAAAGGAGTGACTGGACACGTTGTTCATCCTTCTTTCAACATGCTCTGTAACCTAAGGTATTCTGCTATACACAAAGTCATTTATCCAGGTGAAACCATCTGTTCACATCCTCCTGTACATGCTTCAGTTCTGTGTGAGCAGCTTAGTTTGTCACTATGATGAAAGAATGCTGTTTTTATTTGTAAATAGGTGCATGCACATGTCATAGTCTCTGTACATATAGTATGTGTGTGTCTCAGTGTATAAATTAAGTGTGAGTTTGTATGTGCGTTTGTGCGTATCTTTACAGAAATGTGTGTGTTTAGGTCATGATAATCTGCCCTCTCGCTTTGAGGCACATTCAAACGCTCCTAGGTGCCCTCTGCTGCGGCTTGCTCCTGCTCTTCCTCCCTGCTGCTCGGCCTCTTCCCCCTCCTCCTCCTCTTCCTCCCCCTTGCTTGTGCCTCTCGCCTCTGCCTTTCTCCTTGTTTAGCTCCACCCTAATGTCACCATGGCGATTGTGGTTGCGCGGGGGTCGGTATCCCAGAGCCCTGCAGTGCTGGCCGAGGTTTCCCGGGTGAATCAACGCCATCACGTCCTCGTACCAGGGCTGGGTTCCTGCACTTTGATAGGACGAGCCGGACCAGGAGGCAAGGACACGACTCACTGAGGGGCTCCAAACAGCTAGGCGTACTGTGACGGCGGTCCAGTGGTAGCCATGCTCTTCTACCTGGCAGTGGTAGACACCACCATGAGACAGCTCAGCCTGACGAATTAATACACCCCGCTCGATCACCACCAGCTGGTCACCAGTTACCACCTGGTAAAGACACAGAGTGAGATTTGTGTGTGTATTTGGTAGCCTGGGTAATGTTCATAAACTGGTGATGAAGGATTTGTGAATGACGGGTTGTTCAAAACAAAAGTACTCTGGCAGAAGAAAACGTTGCATCTGTCATTAAAGCTGAGGGAATCTTGTCAGAATATTCAATTGTGGGACAAACTTTACATCCTCTGGTGTCTGTGGTCTGTCTTTATGTTCTAAAAATGAGAACATAGTGTGTGTGCTTACCTGGTTTAGTTCAGGACTGTTCTCTCCAGCCTGTTTGTACCAGGTAACAGCAGCATGCCTGGATCGAGGCAGGCACTCCAGGTAGGTGCTGTTACCTTCGGCAACCATCATCACCCTTTGTTCCGCTTCCACCTGCAGCCCGGCTGAAACAGATCGCGGAAAGACGTGAGTTTACAGACCTGGTTTTTGCTGAAATTTAAATTTGTCTGCTTTTATCTGTTTTCTGTCACTGTTTATCTCAATTTGATGAGGAATATATTTTATATTTTTGCCTATTTTCTAAATATTATTGACAGCCAGTTTATTAGGTACACCTGTACAACTCTATACAATTCAATGCTACACTTCTGCCTTAACATTGGTGTTTATGAAGCTCAAACTGTTTCAGTTTTTAGTGACATTGTCATAAATCTATAAATTCAATGATATTTTTATTTTTGAGGTCATAGTTAAAGGTGGTGTTGTACTGGACTACATTATATTCAGTAAGGAAATTTTTCAGACCCTTTCAAGTTTTCCACATTTTGTTTTATTTCAGGCTCATCTTCAAATAGATCCAATTCATTTTTTCCTCATCAATTTACATACAATACTCCACAATGATAAAGTTAAAACTGGAGTGTTTTGTAAATGTATTAAATATAAAAGACTGAAATATGCCATTTACATACATACATACAGAAAAAAATGAAGTGAATCCATTTTAAGATGAGTCTGAAATATATCAAAATGTGGAAAACTTGAAAAGTCTGAACAGTTTCTGTACTGACTGTACGTAGCTGTGGAGGACAAAAAGAAGTGTTACATTGACGTGTATACTTTTGTACAGGTGTACTTATTAAAGTGGCCAATGAGTGTATACTGTGCATTTTCTTTGCAATGTGCTTTGCTTATTTACTGTATCTGAACCAAGTTTCTAAGGATGGACTGTGTCATATGTTGTACAGATTGCAAAGCAGAAATCACAATGACATATTAGAGTACTACAAATAAAACTAACTACCAACCAACTACTTTGAATATCCTCCAACATACAGTTATTGAATATGTATGTGTTCAGTTTTTTGTGTGCAAAAGGAAATTACACCATGTGCTACACATATACAAGATGATGAACATAAAAGTGTATGTTAATTAAATGTACAGATGAAATATTTACAATAAAACATTTTATAGCTAAGGCTATAATTGTTAAAGCTCAAACAGGCAGCCGAATGTTACCTCATGGTGATTCTACAGTATCTATCCAGTAAACAGACCATACATTGCATGTAAAATATTGGTATACGACCATGTTGAGTGCGACCCTGAATCAGCTGCTCACCTCCTTGTCTGACACACTGAGTTAGCGGATCTTCATCCTCCCCTAAATGACGAGCATTCCTCCTGTTGAGAAAAAGTCCTAAAAATTAAGCAAAGAATTTCAAATTTCTTTAACAGGCTGCGATGTTCATTACATCCTGTAATTTGGAAATGTTTGAACAAATTGCATAGTTGAACAGTGTAATGTTTGAGAAAAGGAAAGAAAAGGTCATGAGCTAATTGAAATAAAAAGGTTTAATCCCCTTGGGAGAACCAATTTGCTCAATAGAGTTCATGCCAATTTGCCTTTTATATTATTAGATTTTGCGTGCAAAGTGGAATTTTTGGCTGGTGAGAGTGTGACCAAAATTAATCATTTGTATATTTCATAGCATCTGTCCATTTGTCATGGTATGTATAGGAACAATGTATTGGTTAAGTGGAAAAATTGCTTCAAACTGAGTTTATATGTAATTCGAGCCATATTATCAACAATATCAGCAAAATGTAAATCTGAGTTGAGATTGATTCCATGTGTTTGTCCTTTGCAATTCAGACTTAAAAAAGCAAAAAAGTTCTAAACATAAGCAGATTTAGTTTGTCATCTGTACCTGCGCACGGTGGGCATGAAGGGGCTGCAGGCATGTCCATCCCAGGTGCAATAGGGATCTCTGGCCAGGCAACACTCAGCGCAGGCCTGCCCGTAGAGCTCGCACTGGTACAGGGCCAGCTGGGACACACCCTCCCTGGAGCCCACAAACAACCACTGGCAGGGGGGGAAAAAAGGATTGAAAAGGGGGTGGAGGGGGGGGGGGGAACGGGGGAGGGGGGGG